AAGCGAATGCTTGCTTTGCAACTTGCCTCCCACAAGAGGCATCCGAAGGGAACTGCTATTCCGCTTCATTCCAAAATGAATTTAAATGAAGTAGAGAGGTTCTCAACGTCAATGGAAAGGGGATTTGGATGCACGCAGAAAATGATATCATGTGATATCATATTGTCATGTATGTCCCCTGTCTAGCTCCATTTATGTCTCTACCTCCATTTATGTATATATACATATATAATGTTGGCACCTGATTAGTAGCATGGTACTCTATTGTGGCAAACTTTTTCCTCCTTATTCAGTAACCTGCTGTTTGGTGGGGGGGGGCCTCTATTGTGGCAAATGTTTTTCCAGTTTTTTTTTTTTAATGGTTCCTAATTAATTAATTATTTTTTGAATTTATTTTTAAATTGGTTACTTAAAAATGTTTTTCTGTTTTTCATTTTTTTAAATTAAAGCTTTCAAATGCAAGGTTTTCCAAATAATTAGATGCCTTATTAAACCCTTATTAAAAAACAGCATCCAGACAATTTTTCAAGGGGGTACCTCATGAGTGGCCCAGTTACTCAATAATATGAATGTTTGTATGGTACTCTATTGTGCCAAGCAACTTTTGGGGTTGAAAAAAATCAAAAACCTTCTCCACCTTTCTTTGAGTAAAGCTGGTCCATTTACTTTAGAAAGCCATATTTGTGTTAAATCTTGAAAATGCAAGGTTTTCCAAACAATTAGATGCCTTATTAAACCCTTATTAAAAAACAGCACCCAGACAATTTTTCAAGGGGTAACCTCATGAGTGGCCCAGTTACTCAATAATATGAATGTTTGTATGGTACTCTATTGTGCCAAGCAACTTTTGGGGTTGAAAAAAATCAAAAACCTTCTCCACCTTTCTTTGAGTAAAGCTGGTCCATTTACTTTAGAAAGCCATATTTGTATTCAAGCTTTAAAATGCAAGGTTTTCCAAATAATTAGATGCCTTATTAAACCCTTATTAAAAAACAGCATGCAGACAATTTTTCAAAGGGGTACCTCATGAGTGGCTCAGTTACTGAATAATATAATTGTTTGGATGGTACTCTATTGTGAGCACCAACTTTTTGGAGTGAAAAAAAAACCAAACCCTTTCTCCACCTTTCTTTGGGTAAAGCTGGTCCTTTCACTTTAGAAAGCCATAGTTGTGATAAAACTTTAAAATGCAAGGTTTTTCCAAATAATTAGATGCCTTATTAAACCCTTATTAAAAACCAGTACCCAGACAATTTTTCAAGGGGATACCTCATGAGTGCCTCAGTTACTCAATAATATAATTGTTTGGATGGTACTCTATTGTGAGCACCAACTTTTGGGAGTGATAAAAAAAAAACAAAACCCTTTCTCCACCTTTCTTTGAGTAAAGCTGATGCCTTTACTTTAGAAAGCCATATTTGTGTTAAAACTAAAATGCAAGGTTTTCCAAATAATTAGATGCCTTATTAAACCCTTATTAAAAAACAGCACCCAGACAATTTTTCAAGGGGGTACCTCATGATTGGCTCAGCTACTCAATAATATAATTGTTTGGATGGTACTCTATTGTGAGCACCAACTTTTGGGAGTGATAAAAAAAAAACAAAACCCTTTCTCCACCTTTCTTTGAGTAAATCTGGTGCCTTTACTTTAGAAAGCCATATTTGTGTTAAAGCTTTAAAATGTAAGGTTTTCCAAATAATTAGATGCCTTATTAAACCCTTATTAAAAAACAGCACCCAGACAATTTTTCAAGGGGATACCTCATGATTGGCTCAGTTACTCAATAATATAATTGTCTGGATGGTACTCTATTGTGAGCACCAACTTTTGGGAGTGAAAAAAAAACAAAAACCCTTTCTCCACCTTTCCTTGAGTAAAGCTGGTCCATTTGTTTTAGAAAGCAATATTTGTGATAAAGCTTTAAAATGCAAGGTTTTCCAAATAATTAGATGCCTTATTAAACCCTTATTAAAAAACAGCACCCAAACAATTTTTCAAGGTGGTACCCCATGAGTGGCTGAGTTACTCAATAATATGAATGCTTGGATGGTACTCTATTGTGCCCAACCACTTTTGGGGTTGAAAAAAATCCAAAACCATTTCTCCACCTTTCTTTGAGTAAAGCTGGTCCATTTACTTTAGAAAACCATAATTGTATTAAAACTTTAAAATACAAGGTTTTCCAAATAATTAGATGCCTTATTAAACCCTTATTAAAAAAACAGCACCCAAACAATTTTTCAAGGTGGTACCCCATGAGTGGCTGAGTTACTCAATAATATGAATGTTTGGATGGTACTCTATTGTGCCCAACCACTTTTGGGGTTGAAAAAAAAAACAAAAACCATTCTCCACCTTTCTTTGAGTAAAGCTGGTCCATTTACTTTAGAAAGCCATATTTGTGTTAAATCTTTAAAATGCAAGGTTTTCCAAATAATTAGATGCCTTATTAAACCCTTATTAAAAAACAGCATCCAAACAATTTTTCAAGGGGGTACCTCATGAGTGGCTCAGTTACTCAATAATATGAATGTTTGGATGGTACTCTATTGTGCCAAGCAACTTTTGGGGTCGAAAAAAAAACAAAACCCTTGAAAGTAAATTGAAATCAATTGAAAGTCAATTGAACGTAAATTGAATTCAATTAAAAGTAAATTGAAAATCAATTGAAAGTAAACTGAAATCAATTGAAAGTAAATTGATTTCAATTAAAAGTAAATTGAAATCAGTTGAAAGTAAATTGATTTCAATTAAAAGTAAATTGAAATCAATTCAAAAAAATTGTTGAGGGTGGGGGGGCGCAAAAAAATGGTCAGTTATTGAGTAGACTAAAATTGTTTGAGGGGGGGGGGGCCCCGCCCACTAATCAGTCGACAACATTATATATATATATATATTTGTATAAGACAATGGGGATTTCCCAACCAGCCGTGGACAGAAGTGGTCACCTTTCGAACAAAGGCATCTACCTTGCCAGTCGCTTTCGGATTGACCAGGTATATCAAACATATTGACATCCAAAATGGAAGGGTTTCCATACCAAGAATGACCAGCTTATTGGTCCATCCATTGGTCCAGAAATTTCATGTATCTGCGCCGGGGCGCGGAGCCAATTGCTCATGACGCTCAACGGGCGCGGCTTCCATAGCTCACAAAAACTTCACCGGGCAGCGCTCGATTGAGTCAGCTCAAACAGCTAAACCCCGAATCACTTTTTTGAACCAAAAATCCCGCGAATGGAGTCTGTCTGAAAACAGAATCGGAACATATGTAACACATATGTAACATATATAAATCAACTGCGGGGTTTTGAAGCACCCTATTTTCAGTCAAAGCCACATAATCCACATGGGATCTCCGCGAAAAAATGACAGGCCCCCGCCGCCCCCATCATCCCATGGTGAGGTCCGCGTCGTCTGATCGGAGATCAGGCGCCATGACTTACCCGTTGCATCTAAACAGGTTCCAGCCATGCTACCCTCTGGTAATTTAACATAGCTATTGAAAATGGCCATTTATAGTGAGTTTTCCCATTAAAAATTGTGATTTTCCATAGTTATGTTAGTTTACCAGAGGGTAGAATGAACCTAGATGCATCATGATTCATCCATAATCATCCATAATCTATGATTTTCTATGATTTTGTCATTCCACTTCTACCAGAAATCTAGAGGAAGCCGAATCCCATCAGAACATTATCAATCAAACACCAACCTCAAGTTGCTGCCACGAACCGCACGGAAGTCACACTTAAGTGGGATTCCCATTCAATTCCGACTTGCATCATTCTAATCATGGCAACAAAAACAGGGTCCCCTTATCCCAAGGGTCCCAATGTTTCAAACAACAACGACTTCCGTTTGGATGGGAGGATCCTCAATGCCGAGACATGGCCTTTGAAAAGGTCAGGTGCTGAAGAGATTGTTCCCGAACATCGAGGCTGCTTCACAGATCATGGCCTTTGATTCCAACCGCTGATCCGACCCCCGCTGATCCCAACGAGGAAACCATCTAATTCCATCATATTCCATCTATGAAAAAGGGGAGCTCCGTAATAAATTCACATTTAATATATTTTAATATACTATACCCTCTGGTTATTCAATATAACTATGGGATAAACATGATGATGTACCTATTAACAATGGTGACTTTCCAGTTCGCTACCGTTAAATCACCAGAGAAGCCTTGTCGGATGAGGGGCTGTTTTTCATTTTTTTTGCGTATGAAGACCATTGAAGAACGACAACCAAAATCGCTATGACGAGGGATCCTTACGAAATCAAAGGAGTACTGCCCATAATTCGGATAAATATGGATACATAATATATCATAATATGCTTTCACGTTTTAGGATGTTTATGTTCATCTTTTTCCTTCCCATGTTGACCCACCGACCTGTACGAATTTGGCAATTTGGGGTTTGCTGGAGTAAACACGCCCTCAACTGCCTTAGTAGCTTAGTCTGGTCATGACTGGCCATTATGCCTTGTTGAGACATCTTGCACCTGACAGTTTTGGAACATTCAATTTTGTAGTGTATAAATGTGTATAACTATTTTGATTTGTTGCAAGCTGTAAATAAGAAATGGTTGTGATCAAGGCCTTGCAATAATTTTCACTTCCACCATCGTCCACCCATTTGTGGCCCATAGTCCTGGGGCTCCCAGACGGCAATGGAAAAGATCGATCGTGCGCAGCGACAAGTTTTTCTCTTAGACTTTGAGCCGAATCTTCAGATGGGACATCAATACTGAATCTCAGCGTCACCATCAAGATCAACATCAATATCCGCCCACTCATCCTCATCTTCATCCTGCTCAACACCAGCACCAGCACCAGCACCAGCAGCTTCATCATCATCATCATCATCATCACCATCATCATCACAATCACCATCATCATCATCATCATCATCATCATCATCATCATCATCATCATCCTCATCCTCATCCTCCATCCTCATCCTCCAAGTTCGGCGGCAGTCACGCACCCCCTTGTTTTCATTGACTTCAACTTCACGACATTGGCGTTTTTTCCCTGCCGTCACTTCTGCTTCTGCCGCAACTCCACCAAGAAGTAGACGAACCGCAGTTGCACCGCAAGGATCACCTGGCTTCGTCGGTGACTCAAGGATGGACCGTGGCTTTGAGCTACGTTTCTTATGGTTGGATAACATCAGATGTATACAGAAATGTATTGGACATTTTGCAGATGCGCGGCACATGCTATTTTGCTCAGCCATCAGGCAACCCTGGGAAATCCTGGGAAACATCCTAAGAACAGATTGTATGGGATGTTCACCTACCATTTTAAGGTTTTGAACCATAATCTCAGGAAGTATCTCTTTTCTTATTAAACTATGATAAACTATGTACAGAAGATAACTTTACTGTCTGATCCAGAGTCACAGGGTCACACCCAACACTTGCCTCAGGTTAGTGGCTAAGGGGCAGCTGACTCGTTGTCATGGAGGCAATCCCCATTCCGTCCAATGGTCAAACGCTGATGATCCTATTTCTTCAATGGCCATAGATTGGGCTAGATACTTCACAAAATCAACACATCCATAGAATTTTCACTTCTAAGTAGTCATCTGCAACATATGATGCCTCTATCAACCCCTATATAACCCATATAAGTCAGTATAAACCCTATATAACCACTATGTAACCCATACGATTTTCTGCACCATAACCCCATCAACGAACCCCCATCACCCCATCATCTGTCAAGGTGCCATGGTGCTGACGTACAGCAGTACCTTGCCGTAGATCTCCAGCATGGGCGAAGATACGGAGGGCAGGTGCACCTGTGCCAGGGCCGCAACTGGAGAATGGATTACTAATTGAGGTTAGAAACCATCAACTATATCAACTATGGTTAATAGATATTACTTACTATGGTTGATATGGTCATGCAATAGTTCATAGTAACGATGGTTGATATGGTTGCATAATAGTTACTAGTAAATGTATTATCAAATAGAGAGTAGTTAGTTATTAGTAATAAATATTTTTTCTACCCTCCTGTAGACAAACAGTTCGATTTGAAAAACCTACACTATTATGTATGTAACCGTTTACCACTTTTCTTTTCTTATCGCTCCCTGGCCACCCCAAATATCACCAAACTACCTTTGAGGGGAATGGCTAGATTCAAAATATGGCAGACAGTGGCAGACCAGTTTTCCAGCCCCAACAGTGGTTTTAGCTTACCTCAGGTTGGAGAAAGCCGGTGATAGTGGCTTTCTGTTTATCTAACAAGCGTAGCTACAACCAGGAGTCGCCTCCCTGGGTATCAACCCAGCGGACCCATCTTCAACCACCCCCTTGCAATAGGAATATATTTGGGGTATGCAGATAGAAGTGGACCATGATGCAGGTGGGTCGGTCTTGTAAATGAGGCATTTATAGGCATTTACTGCCAAGATGTGAACATCACTCGATTACCTGGGGAAAATGAGAATTTTAACCGTGGGATGCGATGGGGGTTCCTTAAATTCTGAGACAAGCCCAATATAGATTGATTTGATTAACGACAAATTCACAGGAAATCTGGGCGTTTCTGATGAAAATACAATCAGAAATACAAGGAGGTCAGAGCCTTGATTTCAGGAGATAAACAGAGAACTCGAACATGTTTCCGGTCCCAGCGCCACCTGAGCCAACAATGCTGCTGTAGCAGTGGACGCCAGGGGAAAGGTAAAGGACACGAAGCCTCAGCGTGTCTGGTCAACCCAGGGCTGGTCATTACCAGAAGTCAGCTCAGGGTAACAACTCTATGCGCGCTCTTGCCGCACTCAATGTCAGCACAGTAGGTACTGATCGCGGCAAGTGGCTGGGGTGAAAGCTGGTGGCCCAAAGAGAACGCCTGGAGTGAGGGATGGGTCACATTTGGATATCCTAAAGTGGGATCATTTAGGGAACACGACCAACCATTTGTGCATTTCCAAAGCCTGCACTGTTTGACCCGCAACTATGCCCATATATATATAATAGATTCATGTAGTATAGTCTGTACAATATTGTATAGGTACAGGTGAACGTTGAAGGCAGGACCAGTGGTGCTAGAATATGTGTTCCTGCATGGAACGCCGTGGTAACGGCTAAGTCAGAAAAGGCAGGACCTGGACTATGAAACCCAATGGAAACGCTTTAACGCTTACGGTTTGTAGACGTGAAAATACCCACTTCCAGAAGCCTCTTTCCAATGGAACGCCGGTACCCAAACTACTAAACATATTTGGTTGATAATTCACCGTTCCCATGGAACGCTGGCTTTTACTGATGCTTCAGACTTGCCCAAACCACTTAAGCAAGGGTGGAAAAGGGTGCATTTATACGAGGTCCGATACGAGGTCTATACGAGGTCAGCCTATATGGTTTGTCCCTGCACCTATTGAGATGATCTTTATGCAACAGGCACACCTTTCACCACCTACTGTACGCGTTGCTTTTGTTCATTTAGCATTTATTTCCTTCATTTTGCATTCATGTTCTTGCTTCTTGTATTCATTTCTTTTCATTTTGATGATCCAAGGTCTGGCATGTTTAATCCAATGTCTGTGAAACGCATACTAAACGCTAAAGGTACCGCCTTCACCTGAATGCTTTCTACAAGGGAACAGCTTATTTTATACCACCGGTACCGTCTTCAACATCTGCCTGTATCTTGCTCAACATACTGGGACAATCCCTGAAGCTAGAACAGTAAACCATTAGGAACTGGATTCTAAGGCCTTATGAACTGAGATATTTTGGGTTTGTGACCCAGTCACTCCCCCATTTCTCGAGCTGCTCACAAACCATCATTGTATTGCAAAAAGATACACGTGAGACCCCTTCATGTGTGGTGTGCCTTGCCCATCCCAGCCCCGCAAAATATCAACATGATCCAGAAAACATCAACAGGCTTTGTCTGAAAATAGAGTAGCCAAAATTTGTTGGTATTATATATATATAATATATATTTTGAATGAATTTTGCATATTTTTGCCATTCAAATTGCAATTTTTTGGTATACCGGTATCCCTGGTATACTCTGCTTCCAGACAAACCAGATGGGTTCAAATGTCAACGGGCTTTGATTTCATTATCTTTACATTTTTCGACATGAGACGCGGCAACCAATTTACGTGCTGAGACAGCCATATCAACCTCATACAAAAACACATCCTCAAAAACAATCTTTGACAAACTGTATGACAGACAGCTGAACTTCAATCATTATCCTCTTTCATCTATGGTTCCCATAGTTCGACCTTATAAAAAAAACCAGAAAAATAAACCTTTGTGTGGTATTTTCGGGGGCCAAACTTTCAGTCAATTTGAGACAGCCCTAGCTCATAGCTCCGCCTCAGCCACAGGAGCACCAAGGTCATCCAGAAGGAGATTGTACTATCCTGGAGGCCGGAGGCCCCAAAAAGATGGAACATGTGAAACTTACCATACTATTTCTGCAATTTTAGTAGAAATTTTTGAACAACTTTTCCGGGCTGTGACTAGCGGTCTCACACCTTCCCTGGACGCCCTGGGCCCAACATTTTCTGCCAAAGTTCTGCAAAGATCGCTAGGCCAACCAAGTCCCCACCGGGTTTGCCTGGTCCACTTTTCCGGTCAGAAATTTGGAGGTTATCCAGACAGATTTCACTGACAAGAATTTGGCTCCAGGGTTTCACAAGCCCAAAATGCTTCCGTGCTGATTTGTTTTCTAATTGGCTTGGTATCTTAAAGTTTGGGTTTCAAGCCACCCATAAATCTGGACAACAAGAACTCACAAGCCTCAAATAAGCCTCTGGTGTCATTGAGGCACTTTGGGCCAGGAAGCTGAGGTTATGGATTTGACATCCAGGCTTTGACACAAACCATTGTCACGATTTATGTGTTTGTTTGTTGCTGGGATTTTATCTATATTTACATACAGTATCTAATTACAGTATATATTTGAGTTTCGTGATTTAACTTGCAGGACCACGGAGTCTTCGCCAATGCACTTAGACAGTGTGAAGTTCGTTCTGTAAAATCATCAGAGTCTGAATGAGGATCATCCTGGGTCGAAGAGGTAGTCAGTCTGATGACCGCAGATGACGTAGAAACGCTCTTGAAAGCCATTTCATCCGCACTTCTTGCACATGACTTCACGATTTGTCGTAGCTTCCACAGCATACTTGAATGATCTTGAATTTGATTCTAGGAAACCAAAGTCTTCCGGGGTTATTACATGTTATTAGTTATTACCATCACTTGTTTGTCACCATTTGTCAGCCCTGAAACATCCTGAAACCTGGGGTCGCTTGATGCCACAGGTACCGATGCTCAGATGAACCACGGTAAAGAATGAAGCCTCAAGCGACTCTGGGCCAAGTCTGGGCCAAACTGCCGAGTGCCCTCTGGGTGATCGTCCCCAAAATTTGATCCGCCAGGATACCATCCACCGCAGTTCAAGGTTAGAAATCCATGGGACCTGCGATATTCCCATCCCTTTATTCAATCCAACGGTGGGGTCAGTACAATCATCTAACTGATCCGCTTCGATTCACCTTCCGTTCATTTGACATAGCTGTATGGACAATGCCCAATTTCTTCGATGTTTTACTTGATTTACCATGGAAAAATGGTGGATGTTCCACGACGTTCCAAAGCAAAGTCTGAAATGACCAGAGGATACAAAAACCCATGACATTCTCATGAACATCTCCATTTGTTGATGGTTACCCTCTGGTAATTTAACAGTTTGCTATTGAAAATGGTGATTTATAGTGGATTTACCTATTAAAAATGGTGATTTTCCATAGTTATGTTAGTTTACCAGAGGGTAAACCAGGTTAAACCACCATGTTTTTTTTTCCCAGGTCGATGCCATGACACCGGAGCCATAAAGGTCGCCATCCCTGCGTTGGGCGTCACACTGCGCCGTTGGGACCAAAGAAACAAACCTCCACAGGGCTGGAGGATCATCCCCAGTTATGGATAGTACAAAATCGGATTTTCCATTCATCCATAGATAGATAGATAGATAGAAAGATAGATAGATAGATAGATAGATATATCTCTCTCTCTCTCTCTCTATATATATATATATATTTATACATATGATATATTACATACGACAATCTTCGCACATGGTGCAATAGAAGAATGCCGGACTACCAACCAATTTGAGAGATCTGCATGCAATGGCACGAGAAAGTCTCAGCTGCCAACAAAAAGTGATGACAGGTGCTGTTTCTCTGGGTTATTACATGTTATAGCATGTTCTAAAACCACTAACTAGCCAGGATTGATAACTCTGGTGGGGACTTCCAATATTTCAATGGGTGAATTAGGTGAATTAACCCCTTTTAACACCAAACAGTTACGATCCATGTCAAGATCCTTCAAGCAGGGTAATATACAACATGTATCGAAAAAGGATGAAACAGGTATAACTGTATAATGGTAAAACCAAATAAGTCAATAAAACAGCATAGTTGGCGCGTAACATGGTGTGTGTGCCTCAAATAGTGGATGGTTTTGCAATGTACTATTTTTTTGCGTAAGAATACCATTTGGCACTCCGAACATCAAGCACATTATCTTTACATCATCCTAAAGAAACTCATAAATCGGTGTGCTCATTGACCACACCCTGGTTGCGTGTCGGGCAGACCATCATGGCCCGAACCATGGCCGTCTGGTTCGGCCCAAGGGTCGATAGATCACAATCAGCTTCACAGGGAGGTAGATCACCTTCCGGCGAACCGGATCGTTTTGGGGCGCAACCAAGACATACCGGTGACAAAGATGGAGCCATGTGGGTTGGTCTGAAAATGTGGTAAACCCCATGTAAATCATGTTTCAAGCCCAGAGAAGGTCACTTAATATGGAACATGAATGAACATGATAATAGATGATAATAGGCCATCAAAATTCTGGGGTATCAGACAAACCCCGCAGAAGGGAACCCCGGAACCCCGCAGATGTCGTTGGAAGATGGTTTCAGCGAAGACGACTCGCAGCAGTGACTGTGGGATGCTTCCCGGAATTGGGTATCTGTTGCAATGTACATATACACAACACATAATTACAGCATATTACAGTTACAGTTACAAGCATCTCTATCGGAATCTCAAACAGAAAACAGCGAGTATTCAAGTATAATCATGACATCATAAATTCCCAATACTTGAATAATATTCCCAATACATTTTATTGAGATTATTATTGGGATTATTATTGGGAAGACATCATCCACCCAATAAAAATTCCCCATTTTCTTCCCCCGGCTTTTGGCTTCCATTTCAATCCCAGCGGTGAACTCCCCATTTCCGCCCAGTGACGATGGTCAGCCAAAATGACCAGGGAACCGAGAGGGCCTTGAGCCACTCCGGTCCTTGGCAGAGCTTTTCAGAGCGCCGGTGTCATTTTCGCACAAAAATTCATGGGGTACACAGGTGTAGTATCCATTAATATGAACATGTTTAGTATCTATGGTATAATTATGCAATACCAAGCTACTCATAGCTACTCCATTTTCTGAGGATTTAGTATGCCATCAATTTGATGGAGGTAGAATTAATGGATTCATCATTATTAACTCGCCCATCTAATACTAATTGCACATTAATAATATTATATAATGGATTCATGTTAAAATATGGTTTGTCTGAAAACGGGGTATACTATCCATGGATATGGCTATAGGATGCCAGAGGCTATGTTCATAGGGAAATGGATGCTAAATCATCAATTTGATGGAGGTATTAATCATAGGCATTCATAGGCTATGTTCATAGGGAAATATGTTCATTAGGATTGCCCACTGACATACAGAAAAATCGGGATCTTAACCCATGACATTGCGATTTAACCTTTTCAGAAGCGAATGGTCGGACACCGTGAGGGAAACAGCCAGGTTCTTTTTGGGTGGACCATGGTGGACCTATAAACTTACCATTTAAGGACATGGTTTATGCTCATAAAAATGGTGATGACTTGGGGATGGCTTATGGCATGGGGTTTACCAAATTATCGACTATATTATATTTGACAAATTTTGACAAGATCCCACACCCATCTCCGTCTTGTGTTCAAGGTTTGTCTGGACTTGTGGGTCAACTGCTTAAAGAGCAAGCCACCCTGATAGGAACTGGTGCCACAATTAGCTTAACTTTCCAGTTGGATGTTGTCTCAGGTCAGAGGATAACCAGGGGAAACAAGTCGCCTTCAAGTTGTGCCCGTCATTTGACGTGTTCACCTTGTCATTGTCAAAGAGTTGGATAACAAATTATTGGACACTTTGTAGTAGAGTCAAGGAGAATCCTGCGGTGGCAAAATCAACCGGTGGAGCACATGGCGAATCCAACCAGAAGAAGGTTTTTGACATGTCTTGACATGTTTCGAAGAAGTGTTTTGGATATTTTTGGATTTGTTGGCCTTTTTGAGAAATGGCAGTGTCAAAACCTTGTGCCCCTGGTGAACATCAAAATAGCTGGTAAATGGATGTTCATCCCCCTAAAAATGGTATGTATAGGTATTGATCCATAGCCAAATGATCAATTCTATTCAATTCCATGGTCAGCTCCCCTCTCTTGGTGGCATCCTGCGTCTTCGCCCAGGCTCCAACAAGCGATGCTGAGATGTTGGTCATGCCGAAGAGCAAAAGACCTGCAGGGGCTTCGTGTAGGGTGGATGGGTTGCTGGAGCTGGGATGATGACATTAATGATTTAGTGGGATCATTCCCGAAAATCTCCTTCGTAAAACGCACCAGTAAGTTAAACTTCGTAGTAACTAAATCAGTAGAGGAGGCACTCGAGATATCTGGAGACTACCTCTTGGAATGCTCACTTGGGCCTATTTAAGTGGATTTATGCAACGCTACAAAGAATCCCCACCGCAAGTGCACCTGGAAACCAGGATGGGTCTGGCAAGAGGCCCTTCCTTAGCTCAGGCAATGACTTGGAACATCTTTGAACCTTCAATTTTGACGAAGCTAAAAGTGAACTTGCACCACCAGAGAGTAATTCGAACAACAAGATATCTATATGATTCTATATGAATATGTACCGTCAAAAAAACAGTTGCATAACACGACACACACACACAAATACATATTCAAAAACACTCTAACCATCTGTAACCAAGTTACCGGCCAAAACCCAATGCAACACACGAGCAAAGCCAAAGGAAAACTCGTCGCCACACAATCTAATCATACCCCAATTTTCCGCAGATCCTACTGACTTGTTCAGGTTGGGAGCAAGAAACCCAGCTATTACTGAGGTGTCGAACATATTTGGGATTATTTGGGAGATGGACAGCTACTATGAGTGACTGAGGCTGTTTACAGACTAGAAATGACTCAACACTACCATTGAAGTTCTCTGTTATTTGTTCAAGGCCGCAAAGTGGCGCGGTTGCAACTCCGGTCAGTCGTTTCAACCCATTCAAAACAACGCAAGGAACATTCCAACAACTAGACTTGAGTCTAGATGGCATCCAGCTCGGCATCACCAAGCATCCGTCGATTGAGCAGCGCGAAACGTACTGCAGTGCACAGCAGTAGGACGTGGCACACGAAAATCAGACACCTCAGGGACTGGTGGTAAGAAAAACAGGTGCAAGGCCAAAAGATGTCCTCTTTACTGGCTATTTGTAGGGAATGGGGGAATGGGATGATGGTTAATAATTAGTTATGATAGATCATTCCCCCTTCCCTACTAAGCACCAGTAAGTACATTGAGGTGTATTTAAGCCTGAGTCTGACTTCGTCTTCAAGAAACCAGTATAAGGGGACATACAACTGAAACCAACATATCCATGTAGTATCTCATGTGGCACACTTAGTTCTATGCTAAGAATCGCCCCGAATTACCTGACACGATTCTCCTCCCTTCCAAGATCCTTTGTAATAAATTGACGGATGTTTTCATGTGAGCAGTGTAAAGAACCTGTTAGACAATTCTCAAAATTATGGTTGGTTGATCTGGATTCGCAGCTCATGGATTGTGATAATCCTCAAATATCCCCAAGACATACATTATATATATATATTATGTACATTTAGTGTATCATATATATATATATACAGTACCATATATATATATATGTATCATATATGTACATAATTATAGACAATATAAATGATAATAATAACCCCTACAATCAGCAACCACCTGGCGTTTGTGAAACTGCTCAATCTGAAGAGCACCCCCATGGGTCCCTCCAAGCCGCTGCGTGGTCAGCAGGTCCAAGATCATCTGGTGCCTCAGCCGCACAACCAGGACCTGCCAGCAGCGTGCGTCCTCCAAGCGTATTATTGAACATGGGTTACAAGTTCTCATCATTTCAACGGGTTGATCATCAGACATGATCTGGGTAGGGTATGGTTTAAAATTGGTTATCTAAAAGGGCACCCCGAATCTGCGATCCCCAGGCTTTTAATTTTGAGCCATTCCCGCAATTTTTAAGTCTGAAATCCTAGCTGATGGCTAAAACCCTAGTTTTGGTTTTGATGGTAACATGTAAAATGCTAGAACACCATCTTGATGGTGAAACCCCGATGAAATCATATCAAATCCCACTTCTTGATGCTTCAATACTGATTCTTGATGCTAAAACACACATTTTTGGATAGGTGTCATCTTCCATTTGAAGCCCATCTGCCTGAATCGCCGCCGGCGCCCCACTCAACGCCGCCAGCGTGGGTGGCTCGCTGGCATCGCGAAGGAAGGCGTGCCAGCGCAAGGCCTTGCGACCGGGTGTGGTAAATGAGTCAATGTTACTGGGAACTCACTAGTTAAACGACAAATTTGAGTTTTTAATGTTAGTAGAGCAATCATCAACCACCCATATTTTGATGGTTTTATATATGTTTATACCACCCAAAGAATGGTTTACTGTTGCTTGGTAAAGAAAAAACCCAATCACGGTTAATCACAAAAACAACGCACGCAGGTGCTAACCAAATGAATCACGGATTTTAGCCGACTTCAACGAACACACAAATAAAGTTTTCGCAGCCAACAAACCAGTAATATTGGTTTTCGTAAACATAAAACAAAAACAAGGGAGGATGTTTA